AACCCTCCCAAGGACCGGTACTGACCGGCGGGCTGCTCGGTGTGGCACGGTAGGCCCAAAATCCGAGTTGTGGGCTGCACAACAGGCCGTCTAAGTCTTGAGAGGACCTGCTGATTGCGTCGTCTTGTCTGCGACGTTAAAGAATTCCTGAGGAGTTACGGGGGATCTCCTTAAATGCCTCCTGATCAGCAACAGGTCCTGTAGTGACAACCTTAGTTTAGGTCCAGGCTAGCGACCATAGTTGACAGGATCCTGTCCGGATTCTGTAAGTCCTTAGATCGAGTCAGTAGGTCTTGTCAGTCAGGGGGTAGAGTCTAAGTGGTGAGGAGTGGAACCGTTGCCCAGTTGTGCACCTGACACCCTGGTTGACACACGTGGTGGGAAGAGTGCTACCCCTTACACGCAAGCTCAGGAGGAGCAATTCGCCGCCATCCTGAGAGAGAGAAGGGAGAAGAAGGAGAAGGAGTTCCTCGAACTGGCGAAGCTGAAGGAGATAGCTGAGGAGCAGACGACGAAGAAGAAAAAGTTGGAGGAGGAGATGTTAAGACTACAGCAGAAGGAGGAAGAGAAAAGACGGGTTGCCGAAGAAGAAGAAGCAGCAGAGGAGGAGGAAGTAGAGGAAGAACCCCTCGAAAGGAGGCATGGGGGAGAGAGAGGAGAAACTAGTGGCACGAAGGCAGAGGACAAGTGGATGGAAAAGAAGATCAGTGAGTGGGTGGCTAACCTATCGTTGGGAGAAGATGAGGAGGCAATGTTGTATGTGCCTAAGGAGGAGAAAGAAGCATTCGCCAGGGAGTTGGAAGCTAAGGAGGACCCCCTGGAACGCCAGACGATGGAAGACGAGAAGAGATTGGAGTGGAAGCTGCATCTGGCAAGGGAAAAGAAGAGGAGGGAGGAGGCCAACCGGATGGCCAAAGAAGTGGAGAAGATTCAGGCGTGTAGGCGGGAAGTGCAAGCGCAAGAAGAAACCCCTGCCAAATTAGACAAGATTCTGGGCTATCTTGAGATTCTGAGCGAGGCCTGGCTTGAGGAGCAACGGGCCAATAAGGGTCAGGAAGTGACCCTCCACTCCATCCGGACCGGCTTTAGAGAGTTTGCGCGCGACGTGGTAACCCACATCGCGACCGAACTTAAAAGGTTGAAGGAAGGTGGTGAGAAGTTTTGTGCCGGCACCATTGAAGGCGCCAAAGTAGTGGCCGAAGTTGAAGTGCGTCCCCGCAAAGAGCCTGTCAAGCTTAAATTCCCTGACTCATATAGCTGGAAAAAGGACGATAATTTTGATAACTGGGAGGCCAGCATTAACACATATGTCTATTTACAACATATCGCGCCTGAGGAACAAGTGCAAGGAAAATAAGCAGCAGCGAGATGACAATCCCAGATCACACCATCACATTTCAAGTCAAATAGTCACACCGTGTCCAGATAGCAGCATTGCACCAATAATACACCAATGGAGTTTCGTAGCACTGAAAACCAATGTCCGTGGAGAGCACACTCTCTCCCTCAACACACGAGTCCAGTTCCCTTACACTCACACTTGGCGCTCAACGCCGAGCCTACTCCTACACAGCTACTACGGACTACAAAAAGACAATGCAACTGTTGACATCAGCAGCAGCCCGAAGTACTTGAAGATGCCGCCCATGCAGACCTTCGCCAATACAAGGTACGTGCCCTCACATCATCATCATCATCATCATCATCCTTTACCTATCCCCTGACTTCACCCACACCTGTCCTCTCTGTCACCCGAAGACCACCCCTGCGCTTCACTGTAGTCCAAGCCCACCAGCTATGGTGGCTGGGCTATGGCGCTGCCCTTAGTAGCGCCCTCCTCCTCTGCACGACCGCACGTGCTGCACCTTGCCTCCCAGTGCTAGCAGCAGCCCACGAGCATCTGCTCTAGCAGCGCTGCCGCCA